TAAAATTGCAAATAAATATGAGGCTTATGAAAACAAGAAGGAGTTCAAGTCTTTATTCGAAAGGACTAATCGCCACAGGCGAACAAGATCAAGAACTGGGGCCCTGGTTCATAGAAAGCAGCCTTGGCGGCAACAGTTGCTGCAAAATGACGTTTGTTTCATGAGGAAACCAACAACTAAACAAAACCCAAACCCTAAGGAGAGCAATGGCTGCTAATTATAGAGTCTTGGGTGTCACCCCCTGGACGTGCCCCTAATGGGCCCAAACATGATATACGGTCCACCGGACCAAAAGACGGTATCGCAGCACCCAGGCAGATTCTGGATGCTGACTTGTTTCGTGATTCCTATTGATTCCAGAGGGCTTTTGATGTGAGACCACTTACATTGGCTTCCTTATCTAATTAGCTTTCCATCCATATGTGGATCGTCGAAAACAGAGCCCGGACGCGCCCGTGTGACCAGTTTTATGACAGACTGGTCCTGGAACCCGAGATGGGCTCGAACTTGATTTGGACCTCCACCTTGGTGACTCGAACCGGATGAGCTTCGGGCCTCCTTCTCGGTTAGGACACCCTCACTGATCTTCTCGTCCTCTATCTCCAATCATGGTCATATGCATGGAGCTCATGTCCTTATCAGGTGTTCCAACCATGTTCTTGCCGAATCGGCCAAGAACAATGGAAGGTTGTGGATAATGAAGTCGTTATTATCCGCACCACCGGCTTGGCACGCAAGCCGATAGTCCTTGAGCCATAGTCTAGGGTTTGTTTCCCTAGAATACTTTGGGATATTGGTTGGTGGTTGGTACCTTGGCGGGAAGGCAGCGTTGAGGGTGTGTCGACCGAAGGCCTGAGGCCCCGGCAAGCCAGGGCTCGGGCATCGGTCCTCGCCGCTATCATAGAGTCCGCCGCAATGAGGGTGATAGCCGTGGCTAACTCCCTCTCTTGGGTCATCGTAGGCACGCCTGCGGGCGTCGAGGGTGTTGAGCGTGTCACGGTTGCGGCCGAGACGCTGATGCACCGAGACCGTGGCGTGCTGCCTACTTCATTGTGGCTCCTGGTGGATCCGACGTATCTCTGCTAGGGCGTTCCAAGGGCGTGCACTGGCTGGTGTCGAGCTCGCGTCGTCGAGACAACGAGCTCTCGGCCTGCTGTGCCACTACACGCTCGAGCCGCGTGCTAATCTAATGGTGGGCCCAATGATCCTCGGGCGTCGCGGCCTCTGGAAGACCACAGAGCAAAGCTGCCGCAGCAGCGATGTTCTAGCTCACCCGGGCAAAGCGAGGGATGGCTTCTTCATCGGTGATGATCCTCCGGTTTACATCACGAGCCATGGCGCGTGTGCGCCCACTGTCTCCATGGCGCTCGATCTCCCAATCAAGTTCCACGCATTCCTGCTCGAGCTAGAGTTGTGCTTCCTCGATCTCTCGGTGTTGGGCTTTCAGCTGCTCCACCCACATGCTAGGTGGGGCTTCCGTCTCCCCCTCGGCCTCATTGTCAAGGTTGTTCGCTGGGGTAGCCTCCTCCTCATGGATGCCTTCGTCATGTCCCTCAAGGGTACCTGTCATGAAGCATTCACGAGAGGGGTGATGGCCTCCCCTGCTAGAGTTAGAGCCAGAGGGCGACTCTGGCTCCTCTGCGAGGAGGTCGTGGAAAGACTCCACGACGTGTTCGATCACCTCCACGAACTCGTTGTTCGTGGGGGACAGGATCATGTGCTAGTGCCACAAGGTGGCCGACGGTCTCTGCGGCGTTGTAGAGGCCGAACGGGAGCACTATCGAGGCACTTCGGATGAGGTATTTCGGGGAGAACTGCTCCCTCCCGGTAAGTTGTGCCATGACGTTGTCGAATGAGAAGGTGAGGTGGCGCGGGTCCCCCTCGGGATGGTTGGGGTCCTAGGAAGATGCTGAGCTGATGCTCCACCCTTTCGTAGTCGAATTCGAGGAGCTGGCCACTTCCAGGGGCGCGCGCCTCCGACGCATGCAGCTGTAGCTCCTCGAGCATCTCGGTGATCGCGTCGAGGCTGGTGGAGTGGATGGGTTTAACAACAATGGGCGCCCGCGCCAGCTCTCCCTCTGCCGTGACGATGAAATCTAGGTCCCCGAAGCGCACGTGTGCGCCCGGGACCCAGCTGATGCTATGACTAGCCATCCATGGCCTGATGTTAATCTCGGGACGCGCAAAATCCCCCTACCTGGCGCACCAACCGTTGGTGTTTCGAGTAAACACCAACGAGTAAATTTGTGTTATTGCGCGTCTGGTCAGGATGGTGTGCTAAAAAGACACAAGGTTTATACTGGTTCAGGCAGAATATCCCTACGTCCAGTTTGTGGCTGTTGCTTGTGTTATTGGCACTGAAAAGTTCATAGTAGGAGTTACAAACGGGCGAGAGAGGGACAGATCCCAAGTCTCTGATGGAAAGATCAAATAGGTGCCAAGAGCTAGGTCGCTGCTCAGCTAATTGTTTGATGTTCAGCGCTAGTGGTTCTGCTGTGATATGTTGTGATGAGTCCATCCCCTTAGTGGGGTGCCTTGTTTTCCCTTTTATAGGCCAAGGGAGAGCAGGGATTACGGATGGGAGAAAAGAGGAAACCAGAGGTAAAGGAAGTCCTTCAAGAACGCCGGGTCTTCCTTTTCCTCTGTGCAGGCCCCACTGACATGGCAGATGGTGACAGGGATAGCTCGACGCCGGGCGCATGTCCGCTGACCCTGACAGGGCTACGCTGGGCGTCTGTCCGCTGATGATGCCATATCCTGGCATTGTTAGTGAGTTGTCACATCCCATCCCGCCCCGGCGGGCGGCGCAGCAGACCAGGGTGTTGATCAACGGCCATACAGAAAGCAGGCAACACAGTGACCGCACGTCCGTTACTGTGGATGATGCGAGTTTCCTTCTAGACCGTAGTGATTGTCGTGAGCTTCCATAAGGATCCGTGCCCGAGGGCAAATGACGATGCCCACAATATTATAAGGCAAATGTTGGTGCCTACAACACTGTTTGGGCTCTGACATGCCTGGAAGGTCGCAAAGCACCCTTCTGGCATGGCTTGACTGTACTTTCCTGCAGGCGTGCAGTGTACGGTCCTCGGTATTGCGGTTGACATGAGTGCCCTGCCTTATCTACGCGCGTCGTTATAAAGGAGTCGCGCGCAGACATCGGGCGAGGCGGAGCCAGTTCTCAGACGTTGGGCGAGGCAGACCTAGCCCTCAGACGTCGGGCAAGGCGAAGCCAGCCCTCAGACGTCGGGTGAGGCGGAGCCAGCCCTCGAGGGTCGGGCGAGACGGATCCAACCCTCAGACGTCGGCGAGGCGGAGCCAGCCCTTAGACGTCGGGCGAGGTGGAGCCAGCCCTCGGTGGTCGGGCGAGATGGAGCCATCCCTCGGGAGTCGGCCGAGGCAGAGCCAACCCTCGGGGTCAGGCGAGACGGGGCCCTCGGCCGCAGCGCCCACCGAGGCGGAGCCAACCCTCGGGTGTCAGACGAGGCAGGGCCCACCGCCTCGGTGGCCGGACGAGGCAGGACTCGACAAGCGGTGTAGTCGCGCTCTTGATCGTGTGGACGAATCAACGTTGATGGTCATTAGCTCCTCCTCCTCGGATACCCTAGTATTGGTCCCCGACACTGCTGCTATAGCCCGATATAGCCGGTTATAGCTTATTTTGAGACATAAAAGCTAAATGGCATAGCCAGCTATTTAAAACTATGCTTCTATCATGCCTTCTCTACTAAGATTCAGGCATTTCTGTGTTTTGGACTTAGAAAACCACACGGGACTACAAGCCCCACTATATGGCACATCTTGATAGGTTATTTGCATTGAGATACTTGAGCTTACGTTAGACAAAGATATATAGACGAGCTTCCTGAACAAACTAGAGAGCTACAGTTTTTACAAACACTAGGGTGCTGTTTGGCTCATATATTGTAACGCAAACGTCAATGCAATTAGAAAGCGCTGCTATCGGTAACAAAGCAACAGATCACTGGTTTTGTTTGGTTTTGCGGCTGTAACGTAATGAAACATCAGAAGCTGCCCATCAGAGGCAAGTTTTCCAGTGCGAGAGCTCTCAGCACTGAGCAACCAAGCCCAAGCCCTGCAGCAAGCTGTGATGCAGAACCTGACGGTGGTGGTGCCATGGCGTTGGCAGCAGGTGACAGCTTGGTCAACGGCAGCGTATATGACAAGCAGTGCGCCGCTGCAGGAGCCTTGTGTTCCATGGCCGGCGGCACTGTTGCTGCACGTCGCGCGTCCACCGTCCATAGGGATGAACGCCGCGTAACCCACCGTCCGTGAACGCCACGAACCCGCCGTCCGTGGGGATGAACGCCGGGAACCCACCGCCCGCCATTGTCAGCCACCACGCAGATCCAGTTACCACCAAGCCACCTGCTGTCCTTGGGGATGAACGCAGTAGAGCCTCGCCACCGCGCGCCGTCCGTGCTTGCTTGTCCTTCCTATGCACGGTCGCGGGCAGCGATGAGGGAGTGGGCGGGGTGGTCGTCTTCAGGGGCGTCACGGTGGAGCCGCAAGGAAGACGACAGGATATCCCGTTAGGCGATTACGTTTCTTCATCGACTCTGAATTCAATGGTGGATGCAAGTTGTTGAGTGTAGAGTATCTTTAGGGCAGTCCCAATAATATATTTACGATGGTTTCTATCTTTATTATTTATCTTGCCAACTATTGTTGATGTGACAATAGATTTATTAAAGAAAGAGAAAGGAAAATAGAGAAACCGTTTCCTCGAGAGGAAACGAAGTCTTCACGCGTGCCTATGCTCGAGGAAACGAGCCGAGATGCGTTGGGGGAGAAACCAATGGTTTCCTTCCTTGTCTGCTCGGATCTCCTGCTCCAATTGTGTGCGCTCCGCTCGCATCCTCCGGCACGCCGCCGTCAAAACTACGCGCTCCCGCATCCCTCCGCTCTTGCCGGCCGCGCTCGCGTCCTTCACGCGCTCCGAGAGGTCGAGCTCGTCAGTGGTGGACGCAGCGGAGGCCATGGTGCGGACAGACGTTGCACGCTACCGTCCGAAGAGCAGGTGCTGCTGCTGCAGCGACAAGGCACCAAGCATCAGCGACTCCATGCGAGTGCGCGCGGAGAATCACAGGCGAGCGCGGAGGTTCACGGACGCGACGGCGACGTACCTCCAGCCGGCCGTGGCCCTCGGGCCGGCGTGTCTCTGCGAGGTCGCCCCCGCGTTTCGTCGCAGAGGCAGATGGCCAGAAATCGTCAGGCCGGGCAGGCACAACCGCACAATGATCGTCCTGCCGCGTGCGGGGTATGTGTATATATGTTAGTACGTGTAATCCAGAGTTCCAGACTTCGATTGCAATTGCATTGCATCAATTCGGAATCCTGTGAACGCGCATGAGGATTCGGTCACCATCAAAGCCGTGTGGTTGTATGGTTGCTTGCCACAATTGATCCACTTCTATCTTGTGATGCATTTAAGTTATCCTTTTAATAGACCTTTGTTCGCTTGAGCTACTTTTCAACGATAGAACTATCTCTAAAAATTATCTGTTGGGTGTGCCCTTAGGGTAGTCTCAATGGTGCATTGATGATGGTTTCTATCATCATTAAATGACTTGTCACGTAGGTAAAACGCTGACATGGCAACGTAATTAATGAAGAAAGAGAGCAAAAATCATAGAAATGGTTTCTTCATTAGGAAATCAGGTCTACTCTTGACCCAATGCACCAAGAAACTATGAAATCGCCATTGGGGAGAAACCACCAGTTTCTAGAAAGCTCGTGTCGTACTCTCATTGAAGGAAGAAGATAGAGTTGGGAAAGAGAAAGAAAAAATAATTATTATTCATAGAAATCATGGGTTAGAAAACAGTATTTTTTGATACGATATCCTATATTTTAGAAACTACTACCCTTTTACTTATACTCATATGCTAGCCTGGAGTACTGATCTGAGAGTTGATTAGCTAGGGTAAAGTCTATTTATGAATAATATGCTGCATAACAATTAATATGCGAGAGGGGCCTCTTGATGACTCGTCACTAGGTTTTTAATTGGTGAAACGTCATAATATTAGCGGGTGATGCCGCAACCGCGAACTATTTAACCGTGAACCACAAGCAATGTAAGACCAGTCTCAATGGAGATTTTATAGAGTTTTATGGGCATTAAATATGCTGACATAGCACTGTCTTGATGAAGAGAGAGAAAATAAAAATTTCATGTGAGTAGAGAGAGTTTTATGGGGGATGAAACTCTTCTGCACTATTTTCAAAATATGGATGTATTGAAAACTAGGAGATAAAACCCAGCTGAGACTGGCCTAAGTCTGAACTCGAAATCAGCCTAGCTAGCTGGTCAAGTCTTCTGCTTTAAGTAATTATTGCTCATTCCTTCCACCTTAATTAACTAGTGTGAGATGGTGCGCCATCTATCAATGACCGAGGCGCCATGGACCGGCCAAGTCTCTCTAAAGAATTGTTTTGGCTCACGCACGCGTCATATCGGCGCTTTCACATGTACTCTAAACAAGGTGCACAAATCTAGATGAATAATAATAAAAACAAAAGCACATAGTACATGCTGAATGAAGCAAGCGAGAACCTTCGCAGACAGCAACAAGGCTTTTTTTTTGAGACAGCACATAGTACATGCTGGCTTTATAGGCTCCACCTTCACCCCCTTCCTACGCTACAGCAATAAGGTAAAAGCTCGGTCAAAATAAACTGGTTTTCTCTAATTTCTACATTTTAATACAATTGAAAGTTGTGAAGCATGGCCGAAAAAGCTATAAAATAGCATACCTTTTGGCCGTTTGTTTCATCTTATTTTGACGATAAACAGCTTATAAAAGCCTCTTTGGCAGGGCCCCTGCAGGGGCTTTAGCTCCGGCTCCTGCAGGAGCTATGCCAAACGTCTGTTTTGAAAAAGGCTCCGCATGGAGAGCCGGTCAAGAGCCGGAGCCATTTTTTGCCTGCGCAGGAGAAGCCACAAAAACGAGCTTCGCGCGGCTCCTTGCTGTGGGTTCATGTCGTCTGGTGCGAAGGAACCGTTTTGCCAAACGTTTTCTAGAACGGCTTCAGCTCCTCCAGAGGAGCTGCTCCTTCAGAGGAGCCAGAGCCGGAGCTATTTTCAGAGGAGCCAAAGCCCTGCCAAACAGGCCCTAAAAGCTATACCAAACAGGACCTTAGGCAGCCACAGCCATCTCCATAGGCAACCCATAATTTTTTTAAAGGTCTATGGAAAGGTTGCGTGGGTGTCTACAAAAATTTTATTATTATTGTTATTGAGTAGCTATGTGTTTTTTTTTTTTTTCATAGGGTTGCTTTCTTCGACTCTGAATTCAATGGTGGATGCAAGTTGTTGGATGTATCTTTAGACTCAAATGCTTGTCTGGAGTACCGACCAGAGAGTTGAGTAGCTAGGGTAAAATCTTTTTATGAATATGCTGCATAATAATTAATAGGCGAGAGGGGCCTCCCAGTGACTCATCACTAGATTTTTATAAGGCCAATCTCAATGGGGTTTCATCAGAGTTTCATGGGCATTAAATATACTGATGTGACACAGTATTAATGAAGAGAGAGATGATAAAAATTTTATGGGAGTAGAGATAGTTTTATGAGGATCAAACTCTTCTGCACTGTTTTCAAAATATGGATGTGTTGGAAACTATGACCAGATAGTTTCACCACAGACGCCTCGCTGTGGACAGGAACGTCACGGAGAGTCGAACCTAGAACATGAGGTGCTACTAAGACTGTTGTAACCACTACCCTATAGACCATTTTGCTACAGTACCTTAAAAGCAAATGATATATTTATGGGTAAATTAAGCAAGGTGCACAAATCTGGATGAAATAAAAACAAAAGCATATACCTGCTGAATGAAGCAAGCTAGAACCTTCGCAGACAGCAGGGAGGCTTGATGTTTCTTTTTTTGTGTGTGTGCACGCACATGTGTGGCGGAGGGATGGTGCTGGCTATATTATAGCCTCCAAACCCCTTCCTACGCTACACCGCAATCTAAATGTTGTTGACTCCTGTTGATCGGAGCACTCAGCAGTGAGCCCTGCATCATCCCCTGCCCTTGCGCTCACCTGGACCCAGCCGCCCATCCGTCCTTGCGCTCCCTCGTTCGCCCATATCATCATCCCCTGCTGCCCTGTCCGCTGAGAGGTCGGCAGCACTTGTTCCTTCATAGACTGCTAGGCGGACGTCGTCAACGCCTTCGGTGGCCGAGGTTTCTTTCAGGATCCTACGAGCTCACGATCCAGGTGCGATTCTGATCGACGTTTATTTGGTAGCTCGGATCTGCTTTGCGATCCAAGTTCGATATGATTCTATCAAAAACCGATCCGATGTAGTATATACCATGTGCATAACAAGTCTGTTAAGTGTTAAGCCATGCTTTTACGCAGGCTCTAATCATAGGAGACATTATATAACCAACTTTATATGTACTAGCAAACGTGTATGTACGTTGCAACGAAAGCCGATACCTGTTAGAATCGGACTTCATATCGTTGCTGAACGCGAGTTGTTCTAACACACATATAAGCACGAATTGTTAATTCAGGTCACATGTATACGGTTCACAAAGGGCAGGCGACACTTTATAGAAAGTAAAAAGAAAAAAGACAAACCAAAGGATCACTACTCTTTTATAATATAATAAATATGCTCGTGTATTGCAACCGGAGAAAATAAGATACGAGTATTCATAGGAAATGAGAACGTGAATGTTACTTATCTATTTATGTTTTATCTTTTTATAAAATTTTAAAACCATAACTTATTATGATCATGACATTCATGACAAAAGTTAATGTCACTAATAATACGATAATGTTCTATTAAGCCTGTATCAAATTAAAATAGACCTTTGATATATTTTTTCTCCTATGTAAAGCACAAAAATATTTACTCATAAATACATTATAATCTTAATTTTCAAACTATCCATACGTTATTATAGTTAATTATGGAGTTCTGTGACAAACTTTGAGGACCCATAAAAGTCTGTAATTCTAATATTTGATTTAGGTCAACAAGTCTCAGCCACGATCTGTTCCATGTGCGACTCTGATCATTCTAGCTAGGATCTATTCCATGTGCGATTCTACCAAAACTCAATCAGTAGTGTGATTCTGTATCGTTCGGCTTCGGTTCGATCATATTAGTATTGTGCGATTCTGACAACCATGCTGTTGTTCAACACACCAGGGGCCGGGAGGGATAGAGCGATCAAAATCAAAGATGGAAGGTTTTCTGGTGGGCGCAGCAACAGGGGCACTCAAGGCTGTCACTGTGAAGCTAGCAACTTTGCTTGGTGATCAATTCAAGAACATGAAAGATGTGCGAAAGGAGATCAAGCCTCTCTTTGATGAGCTTAACTACATGCATGCCTTCCTCGAGAAGATGTCAGAGGAGGAGAATCCTGATAACCAAGACAAGATATGGATGACAGATGTGAGGGAGATGTCATACGACATCGAGGATAGTCTCGATGACTTTATGATTTGTATTGATGATGACAAATCTGCTAAGAAGAAGAGCCTAATGAAGAAGTGTACAAAGTTGCTGGATAAGATGAAGGCACATAAACGGATCTCCAAGGCGATACAGGAATTTAAGACACATATCAAGGAGGTGGGAGATAGGAATCACAGATATAGGACTGGTGTGACGACCACCAAGGATTCACATGAGATGATTGATATTCGGGCTCAGGCTATCTTTAAGGATGCGTCAGAGCTTGTGGCCATTGATGAACAAAAGAATGAGTTGATCAACTTGTTGATAGAAGATGGATCTTTATCTCAGCATCAGGTGAAGGTGGTCGCCATTGTTGGACTTGGTGGACTAGGGAAGACAACACTTGCGAATCAAGTGTATGAGTCACTTAAGGATAAATTTGACTGTAAGGCTTTTGTAGGCTTTTGTCCTCACAGTATCATTCTCCTTGACTCCTCACATGTTGGAAGTGTTGAGAACTATTCTCCTTGACATTAGCGGGCAGGAGTACACCGGAGATATGCAGCATCTTATGAGAAAGATATCCGATTTCCTTCAAGATAAAAGGTATGCTAGAAAACAGCTCCTCCGATAGACCCTTCGTTCACTATATGATGAAGCATATTTTTAATTTGTTTTATATTTTTAGAGCTCCAGAACTATGTATTTTTAGACTTAGGAGTAAGTATGGGCATGCCATCTATTTCTAATTTTCTATCATGTGGCATGTGGCATGTGGCACCAGCCAGTGGTGCATGTGGTTGGTTTTGGCCCTACTACTGGGGGATAGTTGTAGTGGTGACTAACCATGATGTCATGGTCGGTCCAAGTTAGGTTAGTATCGAACCTAGGGTTTGAAGGTTTTCTGAGGCCATGTAGTTGAAGCTTCTTTTTTATAATAATACCTTGTGGATGTCTAGGGTCAAGTTTTTATTTATTTGTAGCACACTTTGTGAGGCGTAACATGAAGGTCTTAAAAGAAACTCAAGTTACTAGCATTGAGATAAGATTAGTAATAAAAATTAGTGTCTCCTATATAATAATAAAGCATTGATGGAAAGTATATAATTTTATTTTTATTAGTATTTGTCCCTGAATGGAAGAAAACCTAGGTTTTAACTAAACATTCACCTTACGCTATGAATTTGAGATTTGGTCCAACTCAAAAAAACACATTTCTATTATTTGATTTGTATTATTTTTTTATTTTAGTCCTTACTAATAGACTTCACTAACTAATTTGGCAGGTACCTCATTGTTGTGGATGATTTATGGGATTCGGAATCGTGGGAAGCCATTCAAAATGGTTTTATAAAAAATAGTTGTGCCAGCAGAATCATCATAACCACACGTAAAATTGAAGTAGCTCAATCTTGCTGCACTTTACGTCGGGGTCACATATATCAATTATGTCCTCTTAATCCAGAGAACTCAAGAAAGTTGTTCCTGAAGAGAATATTTGGTTCAGAAGAGGGATGCCCATCAGACCTCTCTGAAGTTTGTGATGACATCTTGAAAAAATGTGATGGTTTGCCTTTGGCAATTATAGCAATAGCTGGCTTGTTGGCAGGGAAAGCACCAACTGTAGATGAATGGAACAAAGTTCAATGTTCATTTGGTCATGCACTTGAAAGGCACTCGGATGTCAATAGAATGATACAAATATTGTCACTGAGTTATTTTGACCTTCCTCCTCACCTAAGAAGTTGTCTTCTGTATCTAAGTATATTCCCAGAAGATTATGAGATTGGAAAGGATCGATTGATACTGAGATGGATTGCTGAGGGATTCGTTCATGAAGAGCATGGGTTCACCCAATATGAGATTGGGGATAGGTGTTTCAACGAGCTCATAAACAGAAGCTTGATTCAGCCAGTGGATTCAGGTTTTTTTGATGTGATTTGCTGTCGGGTCCATGACATAATTCTTGAGTTCATTCTGTCCAAGGCTGTGGAAGAGAATTTTGTAACTCTGTTTGGCCTTCCTAACATAAGAGTTCATCCAGATAGGAAGATTCGACGGCTCTCTCTACAGGACAGGAATGAGGTCAGTGATGCCATAGTAGGCTCACGGGAGAAAATAATATATTATCATGTCCGTGCAGTTGTGGTGTTCCCTGGAAGTCTTGATAGCCTCCCTTCTCTGCAGAAGTTCAAGCATTTGCGTGTTTTGGATTTAGAAGACTGTAAGAGACTACAAGCCCACCATCTGACACATCTAGGCAGGTTATTTGCATTGAGGTACTTGAGCTTTCGTAACACATTGATAGATGAGCTTCCTGAAGAAATTGGAGAGCTACAATATTTACAAACACTAGATATAAGGGGTACTCATATAAAAGAGCTGCCATCCAGTGTTGGCCGCCTTTCACGGTTGGTCACTCTATTATGTGATCCCAATGTGCAGCTGCCAGATGGATTTGGGAAGAACATGCAAGCATTGCAGCAGTTGGTGGGGTCCATCAGTGTCTGCTGTCAGTCACCTAGCTTTGCACAGGAGCTTCGTCAGTTAAGAAATCTACGGATACTAGAGATATGGTTTGATGATGTGGTTAGCGAAGATTTGGTGTCATCTCTGTGTACACTTGGTACAGGATGCCTAAATTCTTTGACTATAAACGCTTGGAAAGTGCCCATGAAATTGGTGATGGAGCCCTGGAGCCCCACTCCTCTCGGCCTCAGGATACTTAAAATCCAATGGATTTTTGTCCCAAGGGTACCTAGATGGATCGGTTCACTTGATAACCTTCAGGATTTGAGACTCTCAGTTGAGCAACTCGGGATGGCAGACTTTGGTTTGCTCGGGAGTTTAAACGCTCTTTCCAGCCTCTGTCTCTCAGTAAAGATCAAAGTTGCTGACAGATGGTCCTCCTCCCAAGGAACACAACGGATCAAGATCAACGGCACACATGGATTCCCATCCTTGAGAAGGTTCCTAGTCGGTTCAAAATCCTGTGCATTTGGGTTGTTGTTCGAAGGTGGAGCCATGCCAAAGCTACAAGAGTTGTCTCTCTCATTCAACAGTGACATAACAGGGTCTCTCACCAATGGAGAGTTTGATTTTGGCATCCAGCATCTACCCTGTCTTGCTCTCGTAGGATGTTTCTTCAGGAAATATTTTGATCCCGACGACCCCGCGCGGGAAGCCATTAAGAAAGCGGTCAGCTCCCATCCCAACCATCCCAAGCTACATTATAACTAATTTACCCTGTTGGTAAGGACAACAAAGTAGAAATGCGAGCTACGAAACGCCAGGACGGACAAGGCGTTTCGCACTCCACTGCATTAATAACTAATTTATTGGTAATGTTGTTTATATGTGGTTCATGTTATTGTTATTTAATTTATGTTTTATCAGCCAACCCGAATGATTGTCGACTTAAGTATTATTTTTTTATAGTAATTTGTCACGGAGCGGATATGACGCCCAGAGTGGCAGATTTATATATTTTGTGTAAGCATGCACCCCGTCCATCCAGCATTGACGAGTGTACGTGTTGTGAATGAAGTTTCTGATGCCAGATATATAAAGTGTCGATGAACACAACAAAATGCTGCGTGCACTTGTTGTAGTCCACCATCTCGATCACGCCGTCTGCTGCCACGCACGTCTAATAAGTAGAGACCCACAACAATAGCGGCAGCCAAATAAATTGACGAGGATTTCCATTCCAATAAAGAAAAGCACAAGATTATTTCATCTGGCAAAATCGACCCTTGCATTTTGAATTAGATTGACCTCGGCGTGTAATTTGTACCACGATGATTTCATGGCTTTCCTGGCACTTGGCCCCCATCTCCTCTGCCCTGCGCGGCGATTGTCCGTGGCTCCGTGCCACAGGCCACAGCCATCATCCATCCGCGCTCACGGACTGTGCGGGAGGCTGTCGTGCGGTCAACAGTCAACACCTTCTTGTCCGAGGATGACATTGCTACCAAAAACCTGGATCCAGGTGTCGATTCTAGACATGCCCGTGCAGTTTCAGTGTTTCCAGACAGTCTTAATAGCCTCCCATCTTTGCAGAAGTTGAAGCATTTGCGTGCTTTAGATTTAGAAGGCTGTGAGGGACTACAAGCCCCACCGTCTGGCACACCAATGCGGTTTATTTGCACTGAGGTACTTGAGCTTGCGTCAAACATGGATAAATGAGCTTCCTGAAGAAATTGGAGAGCTGAGTATTTACAAACACTGGATTTAAGAGTTACTCATATAAAGAAGCTTCCATCAAGTATTCTTCGCCTTGCATGGTTGGTCAATCTATTTTTCTAGTTTTGGTGTGCATTTGCCAGATGGATTCAGGAACATGCAAGCCTTGCAGAGGTTGCAAGACATCACAGTATGGAGTCAGATACCTAACTTAATGCAGGAGCTCTGTCAGCTAAGAAATTTACGGATACTGAGGGTGTGGACAGATGTGTTTACCAAAGATTTGGTCTCATCTCTGTGTATACTTGGTACAGGAAGCCTAAATTCTTTGACTGCAGGAACCAACGAAGAGTCCATGAACTTCGTGATGGAGCCATGGAACCCCACCCCCATCAGCCTCAAACGACTTGAAATATTGGGTATTCAGCTCCCGAGGATCCCTAGATGGATCGGCTCACTTGATAACCTGCAGCTTTTGGGGCTCAATGTTGACCAACTTGGGCCGGCAGATGTTGGTTTACTCGGGCGCTTAAGCGCTCTGTCTAACCTCTATCTCTGGGTAATGATTGAAGTAGCCGACAGATTATCCTCTTCTCAAGAAGCACAACGGGTTAAGATCAGTGGCGCACATGGATTTCCTAGCTTGAGAATGTTCCGAGTTGGTTCGATTAACTGTGGGTTTGGGTGGTTGTTGGAAGCTGGGGCCATGCCAAAGCTACAAGAGCTCAATCTCGAGTTCAGCAGAGATAAAACTGGGTCTCTCACCAAAGGAGAATTTGATTTCGGCATCCAGCAGCTCCCTTGTCTTGCTATCGTAAGATGTGACCTTGGTTACTTTATAAATGCAAACTATGAGCCCGAGCACCCCGCATGGGATGCTGTTAAGAATGCAGTCAGTTCCAATCCTAACCATCCCAGGTTGTATCATGGGTTGTAGTGACAACAGAGCAGAATTACTAGCTACAAGCACCAACAACCATCTTGGACAAAAGACTTTTTCCTCTCCACCGCATTCTAATTTATTTGTTTGTATTACACTTCATAGAACTTACTTATGCTGATTTTATATGTTTTATATTATTGTTACTTTATGTTTTACATGCTTCAGCCAAACTGAATTCTCACCGTATTCCTTTTATTTGCCATGAAATCAATGCCATCTTCTTTTGGAAATCCTAGCTATGGTACAAAGTCTGCTAAATGAGAACATTTGATTCCATACAGATTCTTCAGCTAGGACTATGATCTTCACATAATAAGATTGATCTGTTCTATTATTATGAGTTCTATGGTTGTTCTTCAAAGTGTACATTCTGTGTTTAGATCTAGCGCAAAGCCTGATCTCCATCCTTCTGGTGTTGGATTACGGACGTGCTCCTCTGATCAGAATGTTCAGTGTAATAAGAAATTTCCATGTGAATGGTTTGGTGTACGTGCATCTAAAAAAGACGAGCAAATTTGTGTTTAACTGATATGTCTGGACCAAGTCATAGGTGAATGTCCACAATTCAATTATATAGTGTCGAAAACTTCCTCCACATTTTGGCACAGCTACCATATCCATCTACGCTCACCGAATGTATGTGAGGGAGCCAGACGCCGCCGTGCGGTGCAGGCTCCTGAATCCGATGCCGTGCGCTTCTGTGCCCTTCATCTTGGGTTCAGTCCTCGATATTTAGGGCTGCAGGAGCAGGCCTTGATGCCATCGCTTGTCGAAGCAACAAGCCTCGATGCCATCGCTGCTGGCCTTGTTCCCTTCCACGGGCGGCACCAGATCTCCGAGTACAGCTCCTCAATCCTGACACGGCTCTTTGGAAACACCCCTCTCCGCGATGGAGAGTGAAGAAGACTCTCAGACGACGCCGAATTTTTTTATTTTTTAGCCATTTTTTTGAAATTTTTTCACAAATATGCCCCTAGGTAAGATTTCAAAATCTGGACCCTTAGCTCGACGCCATTATTGCTGGCGCCGAGCTCTTGGGCTCGAAACAAATGTGGTGATGACTTGGCAGGCAGCTCGGCGCTAGTAACCCTGGTGCCGAGCTCGGCTCCGTAGATCTTGGCGCCGAGCTCGGCGCCGTAGATCTTGACGTCGAGCTCGGCGTCAGGGTTACTGACGCCAAGCCTGTCTTACATATGGGCCCCAATCCTTTCTCTCTTCCTCTCCCTCTCTCTCTCTCTCGCACCTCCCTCGCCACGCCCGAGCAGCGCACCGCCACCGCCGCCGCCCGCGCCCTCTCTTGCCCCCGGCCGCCTGCGCCCGCGCGCCCTCACCCTCGCCCGTGCCCGACCGCCCTCGCCGCGCCCCGCGCCCACGCCGGACCGCCGCGCCCCGCGGCCGCGCCCTCGCCTCACCCGATGTGCCGCCCGCGCCCGCGGCCGCCTTGGCCATGCCCCGCCGTGCCGGCGCTGTGCCCGTCGTGCCGTGGCCGCACCGCGCCCGCGCCATGCCGCCCGCGCCGGCCATGCCATCCGCGCCCGACCTCATCCGTAGTGCCGCCCGCCACTGCCGGCCTCGGCCGCGCCCGTCGTGCCGGCCTCGCCGCGCGGAGCGCCGAGCATCCCGCGCCCGTGCCGTGCCACCGCCGGCTTGGCTCGTCGGCCTGACCCACGCTCGGCGTCCGCTGCGACTCTGTCGACGTCCGTGACTCCGTCGTTAGACAGGTAAAAATTGTGAATTTGCAATATGCGTACTTAGTTAGCTTTGATTGTAGTGTAGTAGTTTTGGCATTTGGTATTTACTAGTTAATATGATGACTCAGGTAGTTGATTTAGTTAGTGATCTAGTGAGATAGATATGTAGATAGATAGAAACATAGATACATAGGTACATAGATATAGTTAGATAGCTACTTAGATAGGTAGTTATATATTTAGTTAACTAAATAGGATCTAGCTATTTAGTGAGTACACTATATCTATGTATGTAGTTATTATCTTATTTACTTAGTTTGTAGTTAGAAAGTACTCGTTAGGTACTATCTATCGTCTAATTTAGACCAACGGACATGTGTCTCGTTACGTGTTTGAAATAGATGAACAACCTAGTGACCATTTATCATGGAGGCACTATTGAAAGCGATCACTATGGATATGTTGAGTTTGTTGACATGCAAAGCATGCCTGTGCTATTCAATGAAAGGCCATCATTTAGTGAGATGGTTGCAAGGGCTCGGGAGGAGCTGCATTACCTTGGCGATAATGATGGCATTGCAGTTGAGGGTGTACTGCACCTAGGTTCTCCTCCCAACATCCTTAGGCGAATGATCCCAATTGAATGTGCGGATCAGTGGAAGAACTATGTGAGATCGGCAATGAAGAGCCAGCTATAATGTTTGAACGTGGTTGTGCGTCGGGTGTTAGTTGATCCCATCCCTCATAGGGTTTCCCCACCAATGGGTCAACAGGCACACTTCAACCCTCCGGTCTCGGAACCTGATATGGATGTGGAGGTTGCATCTACGGTTCTTGATGCTCAATCTGCCCCCAATGAGGTAGTTGGAGATGCTTGTCAGACTCATGTTGTTGTGGCAGATCCTCCTCATGAGATCCCTTTGACACAGAATTATCCGAGTAAGTGTCTTAACCGCATGGTTATTGGAAGTTTACATCCTTCCTTACATCCATTTCTTTCATTCTTTCCTTATTTCTCTACTTATGTTATAGGAGACATTCCTGAGAATGTGGATGTGCCCCCTGTTGCTGCGCAAGTGCAGTGTGGAGATAGATTCCGTGGCTCCAATAGTGTTGAAATTATGAATGATTTGGAGCCATATGAGATGGCAAGGGCTCTTGATTCTAATGATGATTGCCCTATTGGAGAGCTAACAGAGAGTGATGTTGAGATATTGAGGCATATCTTTCCTAGCTGCCATGATCCAAGAGTTCACGAGTTCAGCGATCTTGCTCATTTCGATCAGGCGTGTGCAGAAGGACGTGATGATGAGTTTAGCGATCTTGCTCATTTTGATCAGGCGTATCTTTCCCGAGGTCGTTGAAGACCAACCCAATGGCAGCACGCAAGGTGTCATGGTCGTCGCTCTCTGACTAGAGTTGACCCCTGCACCTCGGAGTGTTGCCTCCTCAGGAGGACGCCCAAGCCGAACATCAAAGAGCGTTAGAAAAGCGACTCCAAACGTCAAGCAAAAAGGTAACCAGAGCTCACCTTTCACTTGCTCCTCAAAGATCGTCTTCTCCCTCTAGAAACACGCCAACATCCACAGCCAAAGGCAGCAGCCCAGGCCCTCGGCTTCTTCCTTCAACTTCGCTCATTTTTAGCGCCTTGGCGTCGGTGTTCTCTCTTGACGGGCAAGATCGAGTGTCGGGCAAAGTCGTCCAAGCTCCACGGCATCTTCCCGACCTTGGCGACCATATCCTTGAGCTTGTCGTCGGCCCTCATCGGCATGTTGATGGGCTTCCGCTCCTTGGTCTAGAGGCTCATACACCTCCTCTTGCGTACCATGACACTTGATAGCAAGCCCCAGACCTCCCTCTCACAAAGGAGGAATAGGGACTTCTCTCGTTGCGCATCACAAGGGACTACGGAAAAATCAGGTTAGAATTATATAAACAGGGCTCGCAAGTAGAAAACATGAAGACACGACAAACTTGGCTGGCTGGGGCGACGTCATCCTTCAACACCCCCAACGCATCGGTCAGAGAGTGGACTGCGGACTCAAGTCTCGAGCGGACGCTCGTCCAGTCCTTCACCTCCGTCGGGTCGTCGAGGGTGAACACCGAGTCGCTCAGGTCCAGTCGCCTGGCCCAATGGAGCCAGACTCTTCCCCACACGAGCAGATCATCGCCCGGTCGGACAAGGGACCGGGAGGGCCCATCCCCAATCGAGGGGTCGGCCATCGCAATTGTTGGCGTCGGCCCGACAGGAGCCGACGGTACCTCCTCCGTCACCGGCGCTCACTCGGGAGCGGACCCTCCTATGGCAGAGGAGGCTGGTAGCTTGGGCTTCAAAGTCCAAGCCATCGCCACGTTTGCAGGGGACGCCTCGGTCGCGCCTCCTCTCATCTGCCCCACCTCGGGTGCGTTGACTAGCGCGGGCGCCGATTCCACGAGCACCTCCTCCGGCACAATCAGCGCCTCCGCCTCCCCCGCTTTCTCAAGCAGCGCCCTGTCCACCTCGGCGCCATCACGGTGCACCCCCGACACTACGCCAGTCGACTCCTAGGGGATTGGCCGACGTGCCAGGATCTTCTACGGTGCCAACGCCAGGAGGTTGCTGGGGCCGGTCCTGCGGAAGCACCAATGTCACACGATGAAATCCGAGAATGCAACGAAAGGGCAAAGAAGTTGTTAACTCACCTCGACGCCATTATCTGAGAACATTTCAGGGGCTGGTCACTTGACTCCAACTCCGCCACGTCAGCAATTGGCCGCTTCGATCCCCCGGTGGGGTCGGTCGGAGCAGGGTGGACTTGCTCCTCCGACCTCAGAGGCGCGTCCTCCCCCACCGATCTTGGAGGCGCATCCTCTTCGCTTTGTGCCAGGGCTTGCTGCGGAATTGGGGTTGTAAGGAAAATGGACCCTAGGCCCATTTACTTTGGATTTTGGTATCTCGCCCCTTGCGAGGGATTCCTTGTGAGGGGCTCCAACGAGGACTAGGGGGAAGCTTGTGCGCTTCTCGAGACCTCGGTAAAAATACCAGTCATCGATGAGAGTTTGCATATCTCTATCTTGCTCTTTAGCTTCCGTATTTATATTGTTTACATTACTCCTTTTGCGGTAGAGATAGCAACACACTAGCAAAACCGTAGTTGCACATTTAGATAGTTTATCTTTTGCATAGGTTTTGCTAAGGGTAGAAAAAGAGGCCATAGTTTAGAGTCATAGTTTTTAAGTTGCCTAATTCATCCCCCCTCTTAGGCATCACGGTCGCCCTACAAGTGGTATCGGAGTCGATTGGCTCAATTTGGACCTTTGGCT